TCTCTCGAGAATACTGCCCCAAGTCCACTCTGAGACCTCTTACTGGCATTTATCATGTGAATATCACTATTATCTTTTCTCACAACAAAATAGCTACAATAACCCCACCTCAACAGCTTATCAGACACAATAATTAGTCTGGTGTTTTTCTGTGCATGTTAGGATTTTAATATTCTTGATGTGTCATTTACTCATAAATGTCCTTGTTCATTGATTCAGCAAATATTGATTCACTTGCTACTTTTGCCATGGATATGCTGAGTGCTAAACTTGTCATCCTAAATGAAGCAAAAAAACTCACCCCAACTTTCTGGTTTTTCATCTAGGCATTTATCCTGCTCTGGAGCTATATTTTCTGGAGATCCTGTAACGAACACAAAATATCTATTATTATTTCAGTACCTCTAGATGATTATTTGACCAAAAATCTTAGAACCATTTGTAAGCATTGTTAGAAGGTCAATCCTCTTAACCATTAAGTCAGAAGGTTTGATTTCACCTTGACATATGAAATATATATGACTCATATAGAAATTACCACCAGTATATTTCTACTAAATTCATGACATAATGCAAAAGTATCAAAACAAATTTTCCTTAATCATAAAGTTATGGAACGTTAAGTATCACTCGGAAGAGGCGTAAAATGAGAATGCATATCATCAAATCAAACCAAAATACTGTACCTCAAAAAAGGAAGAGGAATTTTACTAATTCACTCATTCTCATTTGCAAGCATTTCTTAATGCCTGATTATGGTAGTATCACAGGAAGAAGAACCTGTCAACATACACTTCACACTCTAGAAGTATATAACTTGTAAATTAGTAGTTAACGAGATGCAGGAGCCAAGAATAGTCTTATGATCATTCACTTCTGTTTTTCTTTTTCGTAGCATCTCTATATTTACTTTCACTCTATTTTTCTAATCCTCATCAACACTTTAACACCCAACTGCTTTTTGTTGTTTCATGGCTTGGTTTTAGTCACACTCTTTCCTGTGCTTAGAACTCAGAAGCTCCTCTTACTGTCTATCTTCCTGGGCATCTCAGTTTTCCCTTCTTGTATCTATACTCTGCAGATTTCCTTATGCACCATAACTTAATTTCTCTTCTGGGAAAGTGTGCTAACACTATCTTCCCAGACCACAGACTGCTGGGACTAAAATAATAAAGATGGCTATACGAAGACAGATGGGCCATCTGACTTTGAAGACCTGCAAAGGATGTTACATGTTGCTTCACCCCATATTACCTGACAGGTGTAAGGAAGTCAGAGATCACCTGCAACTGCCCTAAGCTCTTCTGTGGATCTGGAGACCAAATGGACACCAAGAGGATTAATAGAGAAAAGCATACACATTTTATTAGTTTTACACGCACATGGGGATCTTCATAAGAGAGTGAAGTCTGAAGAAATGGCCAAAGCAAGACACTTCTATACTTTTTAGACAAAGTATAATAAATTTAAGAAAAAAATGACAGAACAAAGAAAATCTGGCTGAAGGCAGTAAATTTTCTAGCAGAATCACTAGGGGATATATGGGGGGTATAAAACTAATGGAAAGTAAGGGTTACTTGATTAAGTTTCTTAATTTTAATTTTTTTAAATTTTATTTTATTTTATTTTATTTTTTGAGACAGTGTTGCTCTGTTGCCCAGACTGGAGTGCAGTGGTGTGATCTCCACTAATTACAACCTCCGCCTCCTAAATTCAAGTGATTCTCATGCCTCAGCCTCCCAAGTAGCTGGGACTACAGACGTCTGCCACCATGCCCAGCTAATTTTTTTATTTTTTATTTTTTTTTTAGTAGAGACAGGGTTCACCAGGTTGGCCAGGGTGGTCTTGAACTCCTGGCCTCAAGTGATCCATCCACCTTGGCCTCCCAAAGTGCTAGGATTACAGGCATGAGCCATCGCACCCAGCCCTTTATTCAGGTTCATCGCAGCCCCCAACTCCCAGTGTCTGGTGATAAGAGCTATTTTCTTGCCCTGGCAAGGGGAAGATACTCCTCCCAGAGGAATCTTTATGGCTTGCTGCATATCGGAAGAGATAGGCCAGCTAGCCGTTTCTGAAACTACAATTTCTCCAGTGTTTTCAACTTGAAACAATCTGGGGTATTTTGGGATGGCATGTTCTTCATTCATCCACAGGGGTACTTAGGAACTCAGAATTTAACCAGAACTATAAGCACCTGCTCATTTGTTATGGGCCAACTATCCTTATAGATCCTCTTATCATTTTAATTTTACAGACAGTCAAAAAAAAAAAAAGAATAAGATGATGTTGATGAACACGGCTGTTTAGGACTGTCAGGTTCCCTCACTCAGCCTACCTGTTTGAAACTTTTGTTACATATTTATAAGGGTACAGAGTAATATTTCAGTACATGAAATGTGCAATGATCAAATCAGAATAATTAACATATCTATCACTTCAAACATTTATTTTTCTGTGTGTTGGAAATATTCACTCAACCTAGTGGAGGGCAAATGTATGGAAGTAGATTCTCTGAAAGTGGTTTCTAGAAAAATAAAAATTATTTTGTGTGTAAATAATGAAGCACAGTAGCTACCATATACAGAGTATCTACTAGGCTGGAAGCACGATTCCAATTTCATTATGAGTGGGCTTATGTCATTCTCACATCAATCCTGCCAGTTGGGTTTATGACCTTTATTAATAGATGGGGGAGGCACAGAGAATGAAAGTAACAGAAGACAGTGGGTGTCTCCAAAGTTCTTGTTCTTTCCACAATGACACCCTGGCACCAAAGTTTTAACAAGGATAGGTAGGCATGTTGCTATGAGCAATGCATGCTTTGAGAAGGCCTTGACTTTGAACTGAAAGGATGTGGAAATGATGAAAATACACACACACACACACAATTGATGAAAAAATGCTCCTCTGTAGAAAAACAACATTCTATACAGAGAGACTTGATTGGGAGTTTGGAGGTGATGGCTGGATCACTTAGTAACAGTCTTCCAAAGCCAGGGCAAAGAATGAAGAATAATTGGCAGTTGTTCTTTATTATCAGCAAGAACAATGCAGGGAAAGATCAGAGGTAGAAGTTATCAATTGAAATGTTTGCAAAATGCTAGATAACAATTTTAAGGGGCATCATAGTACCCCACAATAGATAAAAATTTAACAACAAGTTGTTTGTTTATGTAGGTGTGAGGGGTAGAAGGATGGGATTCTTATGTTTTGCTGTACCATAGCTAGCTGCTTAGTTACTCAGTTCTTACTGAGGTGTAAAAGCTCCCCCTGGTTGATGACTGGAGATATAGATAGATCCATGTCATCCTGGGACTGCTGTAAGAATCCTACCTTCTTGACTAAGAAACAGAAGTAAATTTATAAATGAATTGTACGTAAAGATACATAAACAGATAAATAAATCTAACTTTTTTGATATTTTCTAAATATAGTAGACCCTCTCTTTTATGACTTCCACATCTGTGGATTCAACCACCCATGATCAAAAATCCACAGATGTGGGAGGGCAAACTGGAGAACTTGAGCATCCTTGATGTTTGGTATCTGTGAAGGTCCTCAAACCAATCCCCTGAGGATACCAAGGGACAACTGTACATATATTTTTATGTTGGGGTAGAAAACTATTTTGCATAGTTTCATATTTTCTAGCCTTTAAGTTAGAAAACTTTATGTCATCTCTGCACCAATGCAGTAGTAAATATTGACCAAATTTTATTAACCCTTTTGTTGGAAGAAATTGTTGGCGGCTATAGACAGTATGAGTGTTACAGCCTTACTTTCAGACTATATGTTTCCATTGTCCGATAAATCTCTTCCCACTCTATCCCACTCCATATTTAGAATACTATATAGAGTAGTAAAAGCTAGAACAATCTTTACAACCACCAGTCTGTAGATTCAATTGTGCAGTAGAGGTGGTCCTTGATGCCTTAATATTCCCTGTTAGCATCACAAAATAATGGTCCGTATCATTAGCAACATTACTGATGGTACTAGATAGCTATGATATGGAGAATGAGGTGATGCAATTGAAAACTTTTAAAAGTTTAAAGTGATATATAAGTGCCAAAATGCAACTGCCTATAAGAGAACATTAACACAGGGCCAACACACGTCTATAAAATCAGGGAGACAGATTCTACAGATTCAGAAGAGCCTCCCCATTTTAACATCTCTTAACTTTATCTTCTTATGGGCTGGTTGTCATGGGATGAGGTTGGTTATGGCACTTGCTACCAGGAACTAGAACCATGTTAGTATCTTGCATGAAAGAGCTGAAAAAAGAAGTAAAAGCACCAAGTCAGGTTTTCAGACTACCAAGAATGTGCTCTAAAGTGTTAGAAACAAGAGCTCAGAGTCACAAGGAAAACAAGCACTCAAACAAAGGATTTCTCAGCAAGGCAAATTTACTTCTGCAGAAGGGTGCTGCTCGCACTTCTGGCCACTGCGAGAGCACACCGAACAAAGGAGGGAAGGGGTTTTTATCCCTAATACTGTTAGTCCCTGCTCCTGTGTCCTGTCCCCATTGGCTGGAGTTGTACCACACAATCTAAACTAACCCAATTGGCTACTGTTTAAAACTGAATATGGCTAATTAGGTGGGAAGGGAGAGGCTGTCCGTTATGGTACAAGGCATGTTTGAGCATGTCAGGGCGCAGCAAAGTCAAGAAGCGTAGTTTCAGTGGGAAGATCTGTTTCAGTGGGAGGGGCAGTTTACAGAATGGGCAGCCAGGAGTAAAAGAGGGTTCTTTCCAAATAAGGAAGAGATGTGAGTTACAGACTGGGACTGGTAGGAGAAGTTGTTTACAGAGTAGATAGCTTAGGAGAAGGGACAAGGAAGTTGATCTTGAGAACAAAGAACAAGGAAGTCAGAAATTAAATCTTTGAAGAGGAACTTACTGTATCTGACAAAAGGAACCACACAAAAACGTTATGTTCCTATAAATGAATACATTTAAAAGGATTTTTTATGTTCTTTGTTTGTTTTCATAAAACAGTGGAGGCGCTCCATTTGGGAACGTTAATGGCTGCCCATGGCTACTTCTTTCCAATCTCAGATCATGTCCTCACACTCAAGGATGATGGCACCTTTTACCGGTTTCAAGTAAGTTTAATAGAAACGTTCTTTAACAGTAAACTAGAAGCCTGCATTTCTCTTGTTCATTAGGTTTCTTTTGAACAGAACTTTTAAAAACTATGACTTGTTTTACTTTGACTTAGGCTAGTTAGAAACTGATTAACGTTAAAGACATGACAGGCAATAAACACAGAGAAAGATAAAGTATGCTTAGTCAAGATGATGTGTGAAAGCTAAATGGTGTGATGATTGAAGTTCTATTTTATATGAAAAGCTTAAGGGAAATTCAGAAAGTGACTTAATGGCATTTGGGAAGACCAGAGAGTCTTCCTCTGTCTGACCCTTGCCTGTGATCCAGACCATCTTCAGCCCAAGTAAATGTTAATGGGACTGTCTGAAGCTCCAGATAGGATTCAGCTAATTATATAAACTCTTGGCATCCAGGCTCTTCTACAAGTCTGTGAAGACTGACATGATGACATATTGTGTGTGTGCACTCAACTGCAACAGGACACCTCAGATAACTTGCAAACTGATAAGAGTCATTCTAGGTCATTTGCAAATGACACAGATGCAATTATTCTTTCAGGCAATGACTGTGGACTCTAATTTCAGTCATTGTAAGTATATTTGACACTGGAGTTCACATTGATTTACCTAAAGTGTATTCTACATTTCAGTAGACATTATGGCTCATTAATAACTGACTAGCAGATTCTAGACTGTAAAATTTAGGCACATAAAATGCCAGATGTCAAACTCTAACCCATTTCCAACAGGTATTTGCTGGAGAGTTCTCCCCATGGTCCAACTTTCAGACTTTAGAGCCTTCTTCTCACTTGTTCTAAATATTATTAAATGCTCTATGTCGACATAAATGACTGAATAGTAATCGGAGTGCCTAAAATTTGTTTGGGAAAACCGAGAACAAAGAGGAAATATGCTTTAAAAATCACTTTAATCATTTGCTTTAAAAAATCATTTTAAAGATTATTGTCCTCATAGAACAGTCTCACTGCTCCTTCCTTAGGACTCAGTTCTCCCAAGGCAAATAATCGTAGGACAGTTTTGCACTTAAGAGCTAGAAGGAAATATAACCGTCTCCTGAAACTGTGATACTGACCTAAGTTATCAAGCGCTTAGTTAAATTACTTAACTTGCAAAAGCTTTACATTAATGGAGCTTTATGCTTTATACAGCTAAACTTACACTAATGGTAGCTTAAAATGGCATATTATTAAAGTAACTTGTGGTCCCAAAGTTAAATTTTTAACAACTAGGAATTATTGGTGATCGGCAAATACATTGTTTATATGTGATTAATGCTTCCTGATTTTTAAAGAAATCTCTATTCCCAGAAAAAAGGTAGCAGGCAGACGAGGTTTACATGTCTTAGTCATGCTCATGGGTCTAAAATCTCACATGAGGCCGGGCACAGTGGCTCATACCTGTAATCCCAGCACTTTGGGAAGCCAAGGCGGACTGATCACTTGAGGTTAGGAGCTCGAGACCAGCCTGGCCAACATGGTGAAACCCCATCTCTACTGAAAAAAAAAAAAAATTAGCTGGATTAGCTGGGTGTGGTGGCATATACCTGTGCCTGTAATCCCAGCTACTCGGGAGGCTGAGGCAGGAGAATAGCTTGAACCTGGGAGGCAGAGGTTGCAGTGAGCCGAGATTGTGCCACCACACTCCAGCCTGGGCGACAGAGTGGGACTCTGTCAAAAAAAAAAAAAAAAACCATGTAAAAGAAGGGATCACCATATACACAGGAGAAAAGGAGGGAATTTTTAAAGGGGCTTTAGAACAAAGCAAGGGAATGGGTACAAATGACATATGAATTACATAACTGCTAGGGATAGACAGAGTTGTCAAGTTCAGTGTACTCAGATAGACAGACAGATATAAAATAAACATTATCCATACATATACACATTAAAATGACATTAGTGCTAAATATTAGATGTTACATATTTTAATGATGCATCCATATTTGAAATAGTGTCTAAATACAACACATCTGTAAATCTAATAATATTAGAATTCTAAAACCAAGGTTTTAAAAAACACCAGGAAAGTCAGCGGTAACTGGATTTCTACTATAATGTCTACCAAGTCATTAACCAGTCTGTACTGGGAGAGCTCTAATGATGGAACACACATTATTATTCAAGGTGTTCACTTCTGCTTTTATGTTGGTTCCAAACAGTGAAAGTTCTTTATTACACTGAAGTGAAATTCAACTCCTTAGAAGGATATTTTAAAATCACAAATTCAAATAGAAAACTTGGGATACCGTGTTTACAAATTCTCTAGTGAATGACTGAGAGTCTAACCATCATTAAGAATCTAGGCCGGGCACAGTGACTCACACCTGTGATCCCAGCACTTTGGGAGGCCGAGGCAGGTGGATCATGAGGTCGAGAGATGGACACCGTCCTGGCCAACATGGTGAAACCCCGTCTCTACTAAAAATACAAAAATTAGCTGGGCGTGGTGGTGCATGCTTGTAATCCCAGCTACTTGGGAGGCTGAGGCGGGAGAATCACTTGAACCCGGAAGGCAGAGGTTGCAATAAGCCGAGATCACACCACTGCACTTGCAGCCTTGCAACAGAATAAGAGACTCTGTCTCAAAATTTAAAAAAACAAAACAAAAAAAAAATTGAAGAGTCTTCAAAGCATTAGTTTGAGACAAACAGAAATATTGACTTCACTGGCATGACAGTTTGTATATTTGTCTCAAATTTGTAGTACATGTCTTCATCATGTAATTTTTAAAATTTACTGTAAAGTCACAATTGTCTAATATCCTCTCTTAGCTAATTGAAATTGAGATCTGCTGTGATTCTTTAGCTCTCTTTTGTGACTTTCAATATATTAGTTTATGCTCCAGCAGTTACTGAACAACAGTTGAACAGTTTGGGATGAGTTTCATCCTAGCTAAGGAAGCCAATATTGAAAAATCAAGAAACTCATGCATTAAAATGTCCTAATGTATGGTAGAACTATAAAAGTATGTATTTAAATTCCAAAAAACTATGAGTTTGTTGTTCTCTTACATTTTACTACAAATCAAAGCATTACTTCTTAGAAAAACTCTTCCAATATTAGTGAAGAACATTGGTTTAGTGGCATTTCCACATAATATCACAAGAAAAAATTGCTTTATGCTTTAATTTTACTGTCATTAAATTCTCATGAAAATAAATGTTGAAGAATGAAGAAAAGTATAAGAATGCAGTTGAGAATATTTTTTGTGCTTTTGTGGAAAAAAGGTATATGTCTGACTGGTCTGACTAGAATGGGTATTTTAAGTTTAGAGAAATAGATACACCTGCACACACACCGACACATACACATACATACTCCCCAAAATATAGAAACAACCCGGGGAACTGCGCGTTCCATAAGAAGCATCTCAAAAAGTAACACCCTACATGAAAGCAAAGTTTTAACTACTTTGACCCCTATGGCTCCCCTAGAATCCTGATTCAATTTTATTTTTAAGAAATCAAATTCTCGAAGCTTCATCTCCCATGGAGTGAAGTGAGATTGGGGTGCTGAGGGTGACCCGTATAAAGTCTTACTATCCTCTTTTGTCTAGCGGTTCAATCTTTTCTTCTTTCTTCAAAATTCCTACAATGATTTTGTTCTCATGTTCACAAAACTACTATTAGTAGCCTTCTTTATTTTACTACTATAATTTCCAAGAAAGAACAGAGGGTAAGTCAAAATCCCTGGGTGATGGTGGTCGGGGGAACTCTGAGCCAGTTCGGAAAGGGTTTTCTGTAGAGATTCAAACAGTTCTTCCTATCTACCCATTTTCCCTCCTTAGAGTCTCTCATCTAGAGGGGAAAATGATCAGATAATCAGAGATGACTCCAAATATTCTCATTGCACATGGCCAGTTAGTATAATTAGCTAACAGATAGAATAAAGCCCACAGTTCTGATATTTGCCATCACTGTTACAGTGAGTCCTACAGGCCTCATCATTCCAGGGACTGGAGGTTGATAAGGAGACAGGTGATCCTCAAGTTTCCTTGTGGTCAGGAGCCAGGCATGTTCAACTAGCAGGGCTAGGAACGTCCTTTTAGAAAATATAAATGTTAATGATAATAATAAAGTTTTTCTCGGTCAGACATTTTCTTTGTAGTTTAGTCAATCAGTTTCTAGAATTCTACAGAATCCAGATTCTGCCTATTATAGATTTTATCACTCAATTAAGACACTATTCCTTTAAAAAAAGATCTCTGATTTGTGTAATTTAAAACTTTAGAGCAATAGGTGTCTTTGTAAGGAAATGTTTTTATTTTTATTTCTTTTTTGAGGGTTAATTTAAATTTTTTAATTTTAATTTTTGTGAGTCCATAATAGGTGTATATATTTATGAAACACATGAGGTGTTTTAATACAAGGATGCAACGTGAAGTCATCACATCATGGAGAATGGGATCTCCGTTTCCTCAAGCATTTATTGTTTGTGCTACAAACAATCCAGTTACACTCTTAGTTATTTTCAAATGTATAATGAAGTTACTGTTGACTCGAGTCACCCTGTTGCACTACTAAATGGCAGAAATTAGTTACAAGAGGAATTTAGGAAATGTCTTTAAAAGTGAGATTAAAAAATTGCTTTAATCTCATTGGACAATGTTGAGAACCACATTATATGACTAATGGAGCCAGGGAAATCATTGTCAGATCTCAGAGAAAGAGTCTATCGGTTGGTTGAGCTTTTTGGAGCTACCAAAAGCAGTGTTGAGATACATGATTCACAGAAAACAATGTTATAGTTAAATGTATTTCATCCTGAGTCTTGCTGAACATAATACTCTTTCAGTCCTCTCTGTGGATGAATACTTTTTGTTTGAATGATACAATCAGACCTTTTTGCCTTTATGTCAGTTGGTGCAAAATTACAGCAAAGGGATGACATGTTAAATACCTGCTTGCTACACATATTTAGAAGCTGAGCAATTGGTCAGCAAAGTAAATGTAGACAAAGAGTTTACAATGTCTCCCTTGGAACATGTTCTGTATTATAAAACATATAGCAAACAAATAGAGAATTGTGGAAGAAAAATGCAGTTCACCAGCCAGAAACTCCACTAATTTTTTATTTGTCTAACCTGGGTTCCACTTCTTTTCATTCCACAGACACCCTATTTTTGGCCATCAAATTGTTGGGAGCCGGAAAACACAGATTATGGTCAGTGCCATCTCTCATTATTTTATTATTGACAGCCTGTATGTCCAGATGGATGTGTACTTGCATTTTATTGCTTTTTTCATTAAGAAAAGGAAACCACAATTCTCAGGATGGGGCCAATATTTTTAACGTTTAATTTATAAGCGACTTTGTTTGGAAAGTTACCAAACCTCGTGACAACTTTTTCTGTAGTATGGTGCCCTCTGTAGCTATTAAAGAAAGCCTTCTGATTAGGTTAAAGAGCTATAAAGAAGATTAAAGGGGTTATTGTTTTGTCAGAGCAACCTGACCTACTAGAAAGAATAAAAAAGAGGCCCATAGAACCAAAGTTCTAGTTCAACTCTCCCACTTAGCTGTGTGATTTTTGGTAAGTCCCTTGACTTCCCGAGGGTCCGCTTTTCTCACTGTTCTATGAAGCATCCTATGATTTTTATAAGTGGAGGGTTGTATTAAACATGGAGAGGTCAATTACAAGCAAAAAAAAAAGGCTAAAAAAGGAAATTCAATGCTAATAAATCAAGTTCCGTGAACTGAGAACAAACTTGGTTCAACAACCATTATTTCAGTCAAGCTTCAAGGAGAAAAAGAGCCCCTAGTAAGTATTCATCTTCTTAGATCTTCCTGAACAGTACAGTTTTCAAAGACAAGATTGCATGGTTTTTAGATGTCATTTCTGCAAGTGTTTATTGAGTATTTTTCTTCCTATGCCAGGTGCAGTAGAAGATGCTAGGTTCGCAAAGGTGACCGAGTTCTTTGACACCATTGGGTAGCTCATAGGCTAGATGGGAAAGTAGAATTATACAGGAGTTACTGTAGAGTGTCAAGTGACTAGGAGAGTGGTATATGCAAAATTATACGAATGTTTAAAAGAACGAGAAATTGACTTTCCCTAGGGTCTTCCAGAATGATTTTGCAAAAGAACTGGTAGCATTTGAGCTGGATTTTAAGAAGAATGATTTTTCAGATGAGAAGGCTGGGCAAGTGTTTGAGGCAGAGGAGCTAGCATAATATACAAAGGCAGTGAGAAGCTTTGCGGCAGCTTGTCTTTCTTTGGTATTGCTCCTGGAGAGACATTTTTGTAAGAAGAAAAAATACAAGAAAATTCGTAGAAAATCAATAAAGCTATCTCTCATGTGTGTCATTTCAGAAACTTGAATTTAGTAGATCATCCAAGAATGGTCAGGCTCTAGTCAAAAGAGTCAAAACTAACATAACTCATGAAAAAAAAAGTCTAAAAACCAGAATACCGAAAAATTAATATGGAGACAAAATTATTTCTTTCCAGTAGCGAGAATGTCAGTTTCTTCGTCCAGGGCACACATTCCTCAAAACTGAGGTCCTTGGAGAAAGAAGTTATTTTACAAAACAACTACTGATTTGTAGATCTGAGCTGGAGAACTTTATGGAGCATTTTATTCAACCTAGGCTAATGCTTGGAGATTGTCTCACTAAAGAATATAAAATTCTAGAGGAGGAACACTGGAACAGCTAAGAGGGAGCTCATAGAGGAAAAACTCAGGCATTGGAGGCAGACAGACCTGACCATAAATGCTGTCATAACCACATACCAACTGTGTGACTTTAGGCAAGGCATGCAACACCTCTGAGCCTCAGTTTGCTCACTTTTCAAACAGAAATCATAATATTGACTTTCTAAAGTTGTTAAAATAATTCAAAGTAATACACCTAAGGAAACTAGTATTGGTCCTCTCACATACTCAGTACCTTGAAATCAGTGTTTTGTGCTTGTCGTCATTATTACCTGGCAGATACATTGCCTCTTTTCCCTGTTGAAAAGCAAATTCCCAGCCGGGCACAGTGGTTCACGCCTATAATCCCAGCACTTTGGGAGGCTGAGGCGGGCGGATCACCTGAGGTCAAGAGTTCGAGACTAGCCTGGCCAACATGACAAAACCCCATCTCTATTAAAAATACAAAAATTAGCCAGGGTGTGGTAGGGCGCACCTGTAATCTCAGCTTACCTGGGGGGCTGAGACAGGAGAATCACTTGAACCTGGGAAATGGAGGTTGCAGTCAGCTGAGATTGTGCCACTGCACTCTAGCCTGGGTGACAGAGTGAGACTCCATCTAAAAAAAAAAAAAAAAAAGAATTTAAAAAGAAAAAAATATTCCCATTCTCAGTGTTTGTTTCTGCCCATCTGTTGTGTCTTTCATATAAATATGTTAGAGTGCTCACATTTAAAGCTCATGTTTTATCATTTTATAGTAGGTTGATGTTTCAGTGGTGAGCCTGAGGAAATGTCATGGCCTACACAGCAAACCATTTACAGAATATCTCTTAAAGTAGATCGTCCCAAAATACTGAATGTTATAAGTTTCACATTGTTCCATGAAAGGGCCACACATGCAAAGTGTCCACTAAACGCAGAAGGAGCCAAGAAACCAAAGAACAGAGCAGAAAAATCCAGTTTGTTGGCAAAGGGTGCTTTACTGGGGAACTTACAGACAGAC